TTGAAGTTGGAATTTAATTCCAGCCACTAGAACTAAAATGATCCCATTTTGACATTTAAATTTTGATTAAATTTCTTAAACACTAGATTCGTGTTTTTGCACGGTTGGGTATACTAAGGTGAGTACATGAGCATGGTGTAGGTCGAAGTCGTGTTGGAGATCACGTTGCTCTCGTAAAAATTGCCCAAATTTCGTTAGAACGCGTTGCGGTCAGGTTTTGGTGCTCCGTTCGTGAATCAGCGCCTGGATTGACGAACCTATTTTGGCATGTCTCTATCTCTCTCGATAGTTCATCTAAGTTTGCATTTGATGCTCCTTGGGATAGCCTTTAGGACCCTCTTGAGCCTTGGCAAATTGGTTTGGTCTCAACTGAGCTGGGTTGGTTTTGGTCGGACCTTTAAAATTTGTGCACAGCATTAGTTCGGCCCTATGGCCGTGGTCACCGCGCCCCCTTGCCCCTCAGTGTCATTGTGTTCAACCACACTGTTGTCGTCGGTCATGCTGCGCAAGGGCGGGCTTGCAGCTATTTCGCGACGCCGTTGTTGGCGGTCTGGTAGCTCTTGCGCTTAGCCGACGCCGTCCATCCTCTTTGTCGTGTCGCCCCAGAGCTGTCCCTCCCTATCTGTGCCATTGCAACCGCCGCCGAGCCACGCCAGCAGGGTCGGGCCAGTGCCTTGGCGGCCACCGTTGGTTGACATGGCGCTCGCTCAGCCCCTCGTTCTACCTATCACGCCCGTTTGTGCCTTGGAGCCCTACCGTCGTGTCGCAATGGTGGTTGACCGTAGAAGCAATGGGACATTTCCCTGCCGCGCCTTGCTTTGACTCACTAGCCGCTGTGGGTGAGCCCTGCTCGCGTTCGGTCACTTCGGTTCAAACGCGTCACGCCGATCTTATAGGTTCCATCTCCTGTGAGCATGTGTGAGTGCTGCTGCTAACCGAGCCATGCCGCTCCGTTTTAACCCGCTCGTGCGCCTTGTCCATGACATAGCCCGGCCAGAGCACCGCGCCGCTGCCCACCGGTCCACCTAGCTCTAGCGTTTACAGCCCGAGCCTTCACGCATGAGAGTGCCTTAGGAAGTCAATTAGGCGCTCCATCTTCCTCATCCTCGGCCAAGCTCTATCGATGGCCAATTTGGCGTTTTCTCGCCGCCGACCATGAAAGCCACCGCAATAGATGGGCTGAGGGTAAGTCCCAATACGTGGGGAGAGAGCTCCAATTGGTGTTGTCTCTGGACTTGCCTTGACTCCCTTCACCCGATGCTCGCATTGCCTTGGCCTGGCAGCACGTCGACGGCGCGGTGACGCGATGGTGTCACACTCGGAGCGCCGCCGACCTCACTGCACGCACGTGGCTAGTCCTCTTCGGCACTCGTCTGCCCCAACCACTACCGTAGCGGGCACCATAGTGAGCCCCTGATACTCATCAGCCACCCCTACTCTACTGAACGCGCGTAGTTTAGTCGAAACAGTCATGCCACCACACGGTTTTGCCCATCGTCGAGACCCGGCCTTGGTAGTGCACCGTTAAGCTCCCAACCACCATCCGCCCTTGCACGTTTGGCCATAGAGCCCGGTCGGCCTCCCTGTCTCATCGGAGTGTCGCTAGGTTAACCAGTGTAACCGTTGTGGATCGTCGATGGCCTACGCCGCCGCGCGCACGCGCCAGGGGGCGAGCCATTGTAAAGACGAGTTTTAGAGGGTGTTAGATGCAAAGCGTGTCTCTTCTGCAATAGTGCACATGGGGCCGCGTAATAAATGAATAAATCAAGGTCTTTTCTGCAAAATAGCCACGGGAGCATCGGATCCCGTCATGGGCCAGCTTGCTGCGCGCGCCGCGTTCCGCGTGGGCCAAGTCGAGCCACTAGGCCAAATCATTTGGCCACCGACCCTTTTCATTTTCTCGAGCATTTTCTAATTTAGTTCTAAGAGAAACTTGTAAATTCAATATCAATTTGTGTAGCTGACCAAAAATTATGAAACCAATTTTGTTAAGTTTCTAAAATCATGGTCTACTTGTTAGTGTATTTTCTTCATATAGTTTTGTATTATTTGTAGGGTTGCCAGAATTATTTTGAAATGCGTAGTTTTAATAAGACATGAACTTGTAGGAATTTTTGTGATAAAATGATGATAGTGCTAGCTTTGGAAATTTTATAGTAGTTTTATAGTTTTGTTATGTGCTCTCTGTAATTTTTGTAGCTCCAGAATAATTAGTTTCCTTAGGTAGCTAATGAGCCCTAGTTCGATTATATATTAAATCAATGAAATGGATAAAGAAAAGCACCTAGGGATTTTATAACTAAAATATTATGGGAAATTAGCGCCTAGTTCGACAACCGTAGCCTAGCATGTTAGAGCTATCTCGTTAGCTTGCGAGGCGGAATCAAATTTCTAAGAGTTTCGGTTGTCGTTGATTATTTACATCTATGCGTTGCATCCACGTATATCATAATAGGGACAACGATGGATCATGGAGATGACCGAAGTAGCGGAAAAGATGGTGCCTTGATGATTGTGTCACCATGATGGAATGCTAACTTTTGGTTTTATCTTACCCAGGCAAGCCCCGGTGCATAACCCCTATTATTCTGCACTTTATTTTATACTTGTGCATTAAGTTTAAGGAGTTGAATGAAACCCACTTGCATATATATACATATATATATATCCTTATCCTATGAGTCTTACTAGTATGACAGAATCTTGTAGATTGCTATGCTACAGGACTCCGATAGAAGTCGAGTGATTGCCCTATCACTCGCGAGAGATAGGAAATATATTATTGTTGTTATTATATTACTATCACCTGGAATATATATGAATGATAATTGGAGACCGGACGGAATGGTACTTTGGATCTGGACTTGGTTTGGCATTCGGGCGAGGCTCGGATTGCACTTGTTCCGCCTGTATTGGTTAAGGACCGATCGTTGCATTGGATTCTAGTCAGGTCGCGGACTTATTATCCTAAGCACATACTTGTTTATGGGAGCAGGGAATGTTCATTGCTCTCTTGTCGTGGGTTCCGGCTCTTTCCGGACCGACTGATTGGAGGCGGAGATGGTGGAGGTCTAAGCACCACACTGAGTCCGGGACTCAGGTGTGGGGGCTTGGAGTCCAAGTTTGGACTGGGACCTGGACCCCTTGACAGGAGAGTGGTGGGTTGGCCCTGCTTGTGCCTAGGGTACAAGCGGAGCGTGTGTTTCGGGGTAACCAGTTGGGCTACATTGATTCACGAATCGCTGGGTAATCCGGTACGACTTATCTACGATCTAGTACCGTAGTAAAGAACTAGAATATGAAAGATGGTAAAATAGTTCTGATTGCTTACCAACTGCTTGAAAGTAGCACTGGTGCTTATATAGAATGGTTAGTTACTAAACTAATAATGACTGCATGAAATTGAATATAAGGATGCACGTGTTAGTAATGCTTCCGTAGATGCAATAGCCCACAAGCCAGATAGCCTTGCATATCCTTAGAGTCTTTTCTTTCCTCCTAACGGGTAAGTCTTGCGGAGTACAATTGAGTACTCAGGGTTTGTTCTACCCTGTTGCTGGAGGTACGGGCAGCTTCAGCGCCGTAATCGCTTCGGGTGGCCCCAACACTTGTTATTTATTTTCCTTGGAAGACAATTTCTTTTTACTTATTTCCAATTGTTTGTCTCAATTTAAAGTGTTGCCCCAATACTTGTGCGGTTTAGTTTTGACTTTTGAGAGGGCATGCAAGCATTATCATGATTTTTTTGTCACTTTGAGGGCCTCCATCTCTTTATCTTATTGCAAAATACCCGTATCTGACTCCACTATTGTTGATACAGTATCATACGAGATATCATTCAGAACCACTTGTTGCAGGTAAATATATCTTTATGAACTTCTTTTGTCTTTGGTTTATGAGTGATTTTTCATACATTTACTTTTTTATTATTTGAATCTAGAGTTGCACTTGTTTATTGTGGGGATTGGGGACAGCCCAATACTTAATGCATGATTATTCAGTAGTGTGGTTAATATTTTGTATTATCACCAATCTAGTGCTAATCTTCTGAACAGACACAACAGATACCTGTAATTACATTCCTCGTAGATATAGCAATGTTATATTCTGGAGAGAGCTCTGGTATGATTGTCACTCTAATTTGCAGGTCTTCTGTTTGGTGGCTATGGAAAAGACTGTCTCTCTTACTTCATGACATCTTCACTCCTTTACTTCACGACATCAATGGTGGCAAGCTGAAGTCCGTTCCATACAAGCCGGAACCCGAGGACCACAGGAAGCTGACGAGTTGAGCAAGAGGATGGGGTATGTGTAGACCCATGGCTACATATGGGTGCCAACCCTTTGGTTTAGCTGTTTTATTATCAAGTTGCCGTGTAACCGCAGAATGACAGAACACTGAGAAGAGCCCTTGTAATACATGGGTCGTGTAATAAGAGAAACTTCTGCTTGTTGAGAGAGTGACCGTTTACGAATAAAAAATGATGTGATGTTCTGATCTCAATCTCTGTTTTTAACTTCTCTCCTTTCTTCTGAATATATTGGATTTTCTTTTCCATGAGAAGCATAGCAATTTTGATCCGCTTGTCACTTACATGGTCGTGTTCACTGTTCAGTCATCTGTGTTAAGAGAAATAAAGAACATGCTTATTGTTCGTGAATCATCATCAGTTTTTGCACGAGAAAAGGCCTGAGGCTTTGTCCTGATTTTTTGCCGACAGCCCCAGTATCGGATATAACTTATGAAAAGCATGTTCTGCTACGAGAGCAAAGAAGCGTTGACATGCTACATACAGTACAAAGCATTCAAGCATCATTCACGTATCACCTCAAAACATATTTCACTGCATAGTGCAGAAATTAAGCGGTAGTTTGTGCACCAAGTCCACCCACTGATGATTCATGAACAAAAACTTATAGATCCAGTATACACTAATAAAGACTCAATGTGTGTGACACAGTATATTGGTAACGAGAACTCTGGCAACTATCATTTCATCTCATTTGTCACTACCAGATTCCCAGCAGGCAACACTATTTTCTAACTCAGTCTTGATCAGCTTCTTCACAATGTTCTGAAGAGCTAGCGCACTGGCACTGCATTTCTGATCAGCAAAGCATGACCTCCCTTCCTCAGCCGCCTTACACAGCTGCAGATCCATGGGCACCTTACCAAGGAAAGGAACCCCCATTTCATGGCACATCTTCTCGGCGCCTCCCTTGCTTCTATCAAACCTCACTGCAGGCCATGACCGACAGAAGCTCAGGGGCTTTCTCCTTGACGTAGTTCAGGGCCCACTCTGTTGCATCTGTCTCGCCCCGCCTCATCTGACTTGACGAATCTGAGATCTGAAAGCGGCTGCCTCAGGCCACTCATGTTCTCCACAACACCTAGGACAGGGACACCGCCCTTCTTGCAGAGAGTTGGGCTGAGAATGTGCTCTTTCCAACACCTCCCTTTCCAGACAAAACTAATAATTTGTGCTTCACAGTAGCCAACCTCTCAACAATAGCAACCACATCTGCAAAATATAACCAGCCAATAATCAGTTCACTTTCACTTAAATGATATACAAGCAACAAGTAAATAGTGTCCCTGTATATATAATTCATTCATCCACCTACAGCTAATGGTATAATCACATTGAATTGCATGCAAACAATCCTAGCTCAAGATAAATGGCCACCAGCAACAAAAGTTAAGGCAATCACACATTTAACATGCTGCTTTGCACCAGTGAAATGTATCCAAAATAAACTACAATGACTAAATCACATTTAGAATTGTTGACGATTGCATTTAGGCAAAGCATTTATTTATAGTGATTGCATTTGGGCAAATCATTTATTTATAGCATTGATGGGTCACACTTGAAAACTTGATGGTGTAGTCTTTAACATCCACTAAGTACATAATCACATTGAGTTTCCTGCTCAATCTGAAATTCTTCAATCCTCAACATTTACAACAAGCAGATGGATTGTGTACAATGTTCGTAAAGCTGCTCATTACTGAAAATGGAGGTAATTCATTGAAGCAGCTTTAGCAAATAGCTCAACATACTGACACTCAAGTAGCACAAATTGTAAAATATCTCATACTCCATAGAAAACCTCTCAAAGATCATGGAGATCCCAAGGTAGCTAAGAAGTTCATATCAGAAGTAACAGAAAATGACTGATGATATTTTTCCAAAGAATATTCTTTTTCCTGTGGTCTGATCTGCCATTCCTTGCAAGGTAAGGAAAAGGCAGGTTTGAAACAACAGAGCTTACAACCTAGCATAAAAAAACCCCTCAAACACTTGGAACAAGATCCAAATAAGAAAACCATGCACAATTTTAGTCTCACCAAATTCAAGATTCAAAGTTAGAACATTCAATAACATTAGCTGTAGTGGCCTCTTTATATCCTATCCTTTTGGATTAAATGGACGTGGCATCTGGACACCACAACAGATCATAAATGAATTCTTTTACAGGAATGAACATGCCTGAATGAATTGTTTGTAAGGAATTGAACACGTAGGTGAATTGTTTTACAGGAATTGCATTTCCCTAAGTCTACACCACTTCCCTCACTGTGTTTTTATGCTAGCAAACAAAACTTTGAAGAAGTCACAAATTTAATTGCTTCAAGATTTAATTAATCAATTGGATTCGACTGGACGCTGGATGAGCACTTGTCCGGTGAAAATCTTTTATTAGGCAGCTGAAAACTTCAAAATCAACTCCCATCGTTTTTGGACCTTGACTGCTCAAAAGGCTATGATTAACAGTACAATTGACAATAAAGAGCATGCTAAAAAGCCTAATCACTAGGAAGAGTTCACCAACTATGGTTACCAAAATCACGCATTATAACAATTTAACCATGAGGCTTTCCTTGTGGTCTGTCAATCCCTATAGTGTACAGTGAACACTGGTTTGAAACAACAGAATCTACTATCTAGCAAACCCATCAAATAATTGGAACAAGATTCAAATATGAAATCTAGACACTCTTCTAATCTTTCTAGCCAAAATTAAACGTCCATCCATGTTTGAACCTTCTTTAGCAGCAGTTGTAGCAGGATGTGGCATCAGGATATCAGGTGCCCCCCTGGATATTACTACATGTTCGGATCACAACGAATGCTGTTGTTCTATATATGAAACCTGACAAAGTGAGCTAACATATGAAACCTGACAAAGTGAAAGTTGCTGTTCTATATATCCAAAGGAGGCCTTAGGAGACTTGCCAATCGGTGATCCGAAATGAAGTTGGTCATGGGCCGGCCATAAGATAGCAGCTTATTGTGCCTTCTCTTTGATCCTCTGTTGTAGCTAGCTAGCAATTCCTTTTCTATTCAGCCATGTATCATTCCAATCTTGCAGTACAACTGAATACTAACCTGGTAGGGCTACTGCCGGCAGGTAATTTTGGAACATAGAGCTAGATAACAGTGAGTTGTAGATCATTTCGTTGTGGTATTCTACCACAAGATACAATTGTGTAAACAAGATTTTGGTAGTTTCTACCCACTCTGGCCACGTTTGGAATACATGAATTTCTTGTCAATTTCTTTGTTGGCATCTAGATAGAGAAAAAGGCAACGGGTTCTCATGTATATGCATGCTTCTGATCTACAAAATTTGCAAATGATGGACACCAGCTTTTAGTTAATCTCATACAGATACAGAAGAACAGCTAGTTCGACCAACACAGTCTCAACAACCCAGGTGCCATGTGAAGGAACATCCAATGCTACAATGCTACAAAAATGCAATGAAACATAATAGCAGAGCAGCGCAGACCTTGAATGGGAGAAGCGACGCCTCCTGCTGCAAGATCTGGGCGACGTGGGCGCCGACAGCACCTGCAGCAGCGGCAGACGGTGGTGCTTCCTGCTGAGGGGCGCCGGCGCGGAGGGCGGTGTCACGGGGCAGGGCGTCGCCGCGATGAGCGAGTGAGAGGGCAGGGCCGCCGGCGCGACGCCGTGCGAGGGCGGCGGCGGCGGCTACATCAAGGGAGAGAGCAGGGCGGCGGCGGCTAGGGCGAGCACGCGAGCGAGGTGTGTGCGATTGGGGGAGACCGGCGAGTTTGGCGTGGGGTCTTCGGGGCGAGGGCGGGGGCGGGGGTGGGCTGGTGGGGGTGAGAGGGCTGCGCACAACGACGATATTGCCCTTCGACCAATAAAATCAACAAAAATACATATTTTGTGGAGGCGATTAGAGGCGATAGGAAGCGATTCCAACCATTGTAAAAGATCTCTTTATATTATTGCGTATTGGATTTTTTGCTAGGCTACCCTGGGTTTAAATCTGGGTCCGAAGGTAATTCTGTTCTGCTGTATGTGTTACACGCGTATGGCTGATGAAGTTGGAGTAAATTGTCTTTTGTGGCAATTTATTGAATGCTAGTTTACTTAAAGTACTGTAAAATGTTCTTTATTATGACACGACTAACTTAAGGAGACAACGATATGGATTTATTTTATTTGTCACTTATAAACTTACAATAGGTCAACAACCTTACTTGTTCCCAGTGGCGAAGCTAGAGTTAAAACGAGGGGGGTGCAGCACGTAGTACAAAATCTTGGTATGCAATATTTACGTTGTAAAATTCAAATTTTCTAAAGCACCATATATGTTTCCAGAAACATATAAAAATAGAGAGAGGTATGCAAAATCAATAAATGTGTATATTGGGCTCGCAAGCCTAAATAAATATTTATCGCAGATCTATTAGTTTGGGTGTAGAAAATTAGATGCTATCAATTATTTACCACATAATCAATTATTTAAATGGCATACCATGGCCAACAGATTTAAATCCTAAAATCTTTCTGAACCATATCGTTTGACAAATCAAGCCTATATAACCGGAGGTCCTAATTATTAAATAATGAAAAATGACTCTCTGGTTAGGGTCTATTTAATCCTATGGGCTAACAATCTGTAGCTAAAAATTGGCTCCAGATCATCTAAATAGGAGGGCTAATGGATGGACTTTTGATAGATATATAGCTTTTGTTATGTACCTAGCTTTTGCTTGTTCAAATTATAAGTCACTTTGACTTTTCTAGTTACATACTTTTGCTATGAATCTATACTTTTTTTTTCAAAAATCGCTGGCAGAACTTCTAAAAAGCAAATATATTAATAAAGGAGACGATATATCTATACATAGTGTAGTAAAAGTTATATATAAAAAAGTCAAATAATTTATAATTTAGAACGATGGGAGTAATCCCAAGCCTCACTACATCATACATGCTACTATGCTAGACTACTAAGCCTGCCCCTTGATCCCAGCATGCTTGGGATTTGGTGGTGTAATGTTGATCACTGGCTTGTACTAGTTTGCTTGAGCTTTCACGCTTCCACGGTGGCACATGGGGGATGCATGATCCTTGGCTGAGGGGGGGTGCACATGTGGTAAATGTGAGGTGATTAGTACTAAATTTTATTTTTGCTGTGGGTGCATTTGCACCCCCTATGGGGTACGTAGCTTCGTCCCTGCTTGTTCCCCTGTCGTTGTCTTTCTGGAAATTGTGACATGAAGATCAAGGACCTAGTTTGCAAGCTTAAGGTATCACTACTTCCCCGTGGATATATTTTATGACCACCTGCACTTGAATTTAGAATGTTGACAATACTTGGCTCTTAGACTAAGACAATATATGCTTGCACGCTGCAAGTGGTAGTTTTAGTTAGCACAAATATATAGGCGGTTTTTTTGCCCTTTAGGGGCATATGCTCCTAAGGGCAAATTTAACTTTCCCGCTTATCATCTTCTTTCCAGTTTTCAGCACAGCCATTGTAGGAATATTTGAAAATGAATATATTGTATAACTAGATCTTTTGTACAACGAGATGGTGAGCGTGACTTATTTGTTAAGCATTGTGAGGATCATCTGTGCCACGTTCTGCATCGTGGCGCTAGTCATGTTACTTCGCCAGCCCCCATATGCTTGCAGTGAGGGCATTCGAGTATGAGGTTGACTGTTTTTTCTGTTTCTATTTAATCTGTCTCCAATACCTGATCGCTGTTTGCGCTTTGCAGGACATCGTGGCTGGCCCTGCCACTCCAAATTGTTACTTGCGGGCTCAACACGGTTACCGACCTCCCTGAACTCTCACAGTTCCTGTGGCTCCTATTAGCGGACGGGGTACGCAACTTTTTCTCTTTTCTCTTTGTCAAATAGCATAGTGTCACTACTAAGGATGAAAACGGTCGATAACGATATCATTTATACGAAAACAATTCTCGATAAGTCGGTGTTTTTTCATATTTCTCAATTTAACTATTCATTGGCGGCTAACACTGTGCTGAAAGAAATTAG